CAAATGACGCTAGCCAAGGCCCGGGCACAAGAAGATAAGCCCCGAGCTACCGAGGCTCGGGGGCTCCCCGGCGCTGCCCCTTGGGCACGGCATTGCCGGCCACTTTCCCGACAAAGTCACGCACGGGGCATGACACAAGAAGACAAAGCTTCCCAATAGCCTCTAGAGGCTCAGGGGCTCCCGAGCCCATGCGTCAGCCCTTGGAGCCGACCTCCTTCACCGCTAAGAAGACTCCAGAAGGTCCACCAGGGGGAGGCCGGTCGAAGCCGACATAGCCTGACACATTGAGTGTCAGAACAGAGCAGCCGGACGACGCCCAAGGCTTCCTTGGCTCCATGACACTGCCATGATCCATAGCGCATCGCTGCAAGGCCTTCCTGGACTCCAGCGCATGATGACCATAGACTAGTTCCCCAAACCGCCATGTACCCAACCTATCTCGTTATATAAGGGATAAGGTCGAACCTAGGAGGGGGGACGATTACCAGAACTTAGATCATTCCATTCCATTCCTTGGCCTCTACTCAGCACTGAGAGCCAGGCAACCCGTAGAGGGGCATCGAGAGCTCCTCCACCGCATCCCGTCGTCTTCCTCCTCTCTGACAATGGAAAGGCTCCGCCGGCGGCGAGGCAACCTTAGGATTAGCACCGAGCTAACACCCTACCAAATCTCTCTACAACCCTATTGTAACTCCCCGATTTGAGGTGCTTTTGAGTATAAGGATCATCAGCTGCTGGATGTAGGGCACCGATTGGCCAGAACCAGGATAAACCGTTGCATTCTTTCTGTGAATCTTGTGTTCTTGAGTCCACCCAAGCCACCGGAGACCCGTACTCTGACACTAACTCAAACAACATACTTGTCGTGGTTCCGACCCCACGATAATAACCTACGAACTTCTAATCACCACGATCATAAAAACATGCTTACTAATCTAATTTAAGCGTGGGATCTAAGATTAGACAAGTGGGATCTAAGATTAGACATAGAATTAGAAGACTCACATAACATGGACCATATAAACTTGTGAACAATAATACAATATTTTAACCATGAACCATATCATGAATCTCCACCAAGATCATACCTTAGATTCACTTAGACAAGAAACAAGAACTTTGCATTAGAGCTCTTTCAGAAGCTCTCCAACTAGCAACCATTCTTGAGACAACGTCCACATCTACTTTGTCTAGATCAACCACGCATGAGGGTTATTCTCTCACATGCATCAGACAACAGGGCCGGGGCTGGGGGGCACATTGGAGAAGGAATCTGCTCGAAGATGAAAGCATTAGTTGCCTAGCGCTCTTGAGTGAAGAATTGAAGGCGTTGCAACATGATTGTTTGTGACGCCTACTATGCTTACTTCCACTATATCAACCACTTCGACGAAGGCAAATCCATGAAGTGAAGCTGTCAAGAGATCAAGGCCATGCAAAGGGTCAAGCTGCCAAAAGTGAAACAGTTAAGGCTCTAGCGAAGGTTTCTTCCAAGACCAATCGAACACAAAAGCATCCCCAATCAATCTTTGTATATACAAAAGTTGTGGGCGTGCTCTTTTCTCCATACCCTCTTTCGGCAAGATTTTAATATAATCTCCATGTGTATTTTTCATATGCCACCACTATAATTTAAACTTAAATAGTTGTAAACCATATAAATAGACCGTATTTAGTTTCATGATTTCAAATAAGACAATTTAAATTTAAATTTGTTCAAACATAAAATTCATATAGGCATATAGAAATTTTCTATCACACCGTATAGCAATAAATTATGATAAAACTACAATGGATCATAACAACTAGTACCATGAAACGCACAAAAATGCTCGACAAGATCATCTTTGTGGGCATGAAAGCGATTAGCAATCCTTTTCCATTAAGCCTTTATTGGCTGCTCATTGGCAGTGACAAAATATGTGCTAATGCTCATTCATGAGATGTACAACTGAATGTCCTCCAGATAAGTGCAGTTTTTTTGCCTTCTTGAATGCCTTAGCAGTACTAGGTTGTGTATTAGGTTGGGTGCCAAAGGTTTCATAAGGATGCAGAGATGGAGGGCTATAGGCGGCAATGTGGCGGGAGGGAGTGGGGGCAGGGGTGCAGGAAAAAAGAATGGTGCCAGATGAAGTTGCCCGTAAAAAATATAGAGTGGGGAGCTTCGTATACATTTATGGGGTTGAGGTGGGAGATTTGAGGGCCTCCATAAAGTACAGACTGGAGTTGAGACCCTGTTGGACTAAGTTTATTTTATTCAGCCCTAAAAAGTAGAGTAGGGGTTGTGTTTAAACCCCTTTGTTGGAGATGCTCTAATACACAATTGCTTGGATTTATGTGTCAGGAAATAAAAATAATCTAGGCATACATGTGCGGGGCATCTATATTTGACAAAGTTCACCCCTTGATGATTTATGGAATATGATCAATTTGTCATATACAAGCGTCCTTAATCATTACGTGGACGCCTGTAATAAGTATCAACACACGGATTTCTCTTTCTCATTTTACTTTTTTTGTACTACCACACCTACCCGTCGGCCACCGCAACACACACAGCCTCTGCCGCTGCCGACATCTGCCGCCGCACCGCCCACCTTTGCCGCTCTAGCTCGCCTCCTCTAACCCCAATCGAAGAGGAAAGCTCGGCCCAATCGTCCCTGATGCCGATTTCAACCCGGTTGTCTTCCACCATCCATTCCCCGGCTCCCCACCGTCTCGCTCGCCACCCCTTCAACCGCCACCACCACCGGGCCGACCACAGTCCGAGACTCCATCCAACTTCTAAGATTGCAGGCCATTAGAGACTTTCTCAAAGCCCTCTAACCCCCCAGTGGCAGAGGCAGGCGGGGTGCGCTGAGGGTTTTTTATCTGTATAAAAGAGAAACACTATAGTTTTTTGGATAAATATTTCTAGCTCCACTACTATATATTTTGGTCGTGTACGTATCTCCTCACACATGATCGTTGATTGTCGGTTTGAATGACGTCTCTATGTCTAAATATATACTGGCTCCGCCCCTATAACCCCTTATCCCCATTGCTCTACCACCGGCGACCCCTTATCACCATCTCCCTCCCCTAACATGAATCGGATCAGATGAAGCCGAGGCACATGCGTGTGGAGCGGAGGAAGATAAGGTGTGGGCAGGTATTGGGTCGCTCTGTCCAAATTGTATGTCAGACAGGCGTTCGAGCGTTGGGAGTTGGGACGGGTCGCGGCGGCGTATGCACACTGATTTAAAAGCTTGTGGTCAAAATACGGCCCTTGTAATCTCGTCGTACGTACCCAGCTCGATGAGCTTGGTGCTATCCAGCGGCGGTGGAGTGTAGTGCAAGTGGTGGTAGCGTAGTACTAGCTGCCTCGCTTATCCTGGCCCCAAGTCTGTGTTCACATAGTTGGCCGTTAGCAGACACCGTACCGGCCAAGATTAGTCACTCACTTTTGTCGATTACGCGTTCACGCCCGGACAAACATGCATTCGTCAGCCCGTCGCAGAGTCCCCACGACGCCAGCTTGGTCAGTCAGATACAAGCCGCGGCACAACGCAAGAAATTCTGCATATATCTAACCTGGAGTATGCATGCTTGTCGGCAGAAATGACAAGCATCTCTCATTGTCTCTCTATAGCAGTTCGCCATTATCTATAGCTCATGCAACTGATGAGCCCACCATGGTTTATTTCATCTAATTTTCTTTTTTCCAATCACAGTACTCCAATTTATTGAACCGGGCAGTTAAAGTTTTGTTCGGATCTTGTTGTCAGGCCGGCTAATGAAATTTCACCAATTTTAGGAGATCGATCTTAAAGGCTTTGGATAAATGTCAAATTGTAGGGGGCAGTTAACAATTACTCCCTCTGTTGGTTTTTCTGGATACATAGATTTAATACGCACCTAGATATACACTATATCTTGATGTAGGATAAAAACTATGACCTTAAAAAGACAAAAGGACTTATAATTTAGAACGGAGTAGCAAACCTTGAAAGCAAGAACGACATAGCTAGGCCACATTTAAATTTTGTTTGCTGAGAGTGAGATTACCTTGTTTAGCTTGCGACTTGCATCGTCAATATATATAACTATAGAAGCACAGCCCGCGCGTTGATGTGGAAATTGCAAGTGAATTTTAGTGAGTGAGATTAACTTGTTTAGCTTGCGACTTGCATTTGTGGATGTTTTACACCTCGAGATAGAATTGTTGTGGGGTTTATGATTATAAGAGTATCTCCAAGAGTTTTCCTAAATCTTACTCTCTAAATCATCATTTGGAGAGCCATTTGCATAAAAATCGTTTTCTATATCTTTTCACTCGCCAACAGTTTTTCTATATCTCGCATGCACTGTAGAGAGTCATTCTTGTCTTCTATTTTTGGCTAGCAAAAAATTCGGAATAGAAGATGTCTATATTTGGATAACTATTTAGAGAAGCTGTTGGAAGGTAGTTTTCAAAATCTCTATTTCTAACATTTAGGTATGATATAGAGAGTCTTTCGGAGATGCTCTATCAGATGATCTACCGCATGCGGCGTGCCTCCTGATCTTAGTAATCGATGTAGTAACCTGCTGCATGCATGGTGCACACACCGATTGCTAATTTTCCTTTTGTACATTTGGTTTTGGACTCAAATTAAAACTGTTGACTATGTACACTTCATAAGAAGTCCAAGCGGCTGCATTTCGCATTTTTTAATCTACATATCACTATGCGCTGAGAGACCAACACGCTAGGAATCTATGGTCAAATACCTGGGCAGCAGAATACGTAGCATTCTCAATTTGTTGACTATGTGCTGAGTATTTTTTCACACGTAAAGTCAGGCCCATTGAGAAAATAGTTCCATCCATCTGCCTGAAAGTCACGCTGTATATACCTACCATGTCGTTTTCTTTTCCATGATGATGGACACCAGCTAGCGAGCAAGTGACACCAGCTAGCGAGCAAGTGTGTTATTCTGCACTGCCGTTTTGCATGGTCACCGGCGCTATAAATACCGATGCCGTCTTCACCTCCTACTCATCCCATCCTTCAAGTTCAACACAGTTTTCTACTACCAATGGCTACAACCAAGTTGTCGGCCCTTTGCTTCATTGTCCTCCTTGGCATTGGAGTGGCAAATGCTGCAAGGGTAGCAAGATATGTTAGTGCTGGGGGTGGCGGTGGTGGTGGAGGGGGAGGTGGCGGTGGTGGGCAAGACAGTGGGTCTGGATATGGTTCAGGTTCAGGTTCAGGATACGGTGAAGCTGGTGGCTATGGGTCTAACGGGGGAGCATATGCCCAGGGAGGCGGTAAGGGCGGAGGTGGCGGTGGAGGACAATATGGGGGCTCTGGATCAGGTTCTGGGTCAGGTTCTGGGTACGGTCAAGCCGGTGGGTATGGGTCCAATGGTGGGGCATATGCTCAAGGAGGCGGCTAGGGTGGAGGTGGTGGTGGAGGACAATATGGAGGGTCTGGGTTTGGCTCCGGCTCAGGTTCTGGGTATGGTCAGGCTGGTGGATATGGTCCTTATGGAGGAGGCTATGCTCAGGGAGGTGGCCAGGGTGGAGGTGGCGGCGGAGGACATAATGGAGGGTCAGGACAAGGTTCCGGTGCTGGCTCTGGGTATGGGCAGGCTGGTGGATATGGTCCTTACGGTGGTGGATATGCTCAAGCCGGTGGCCAAGGTGGTGGGGGTGGAGGAAGTGGTCCAAGTGGCAGTGGATATGGAAGCGGCTCAGGGAGTGGGTCTGGGAGTGCTGGCAGTGGCCACCCATAGAACTTTCTGAAGGGAACTGTTTGTGTGATGACACTATGCTGCTACATGGTTACTTAAGCAATAATGAGGAATAAGAAATATAAACCTTGTCATGTTTGGCGTAATAAAGTTAGTGGTGCTTCATACGGATTGTGCTACTTTCAATAATGTATGCGTATTTGGTTTCTTGTGCGTACTTATATATCAAGTGAATCTTACATAGAGTATATATCAAGTGAACCTTACTTTCTTTTAGAAAAAAAGAATACAAGGAGCATCTAACTTTCAAAGGGGAACGAATGAGTCTATTTGTAACAGACGCGTCGTACCGAGACTACACTCCATCAAACGGAGTACAAAACATGGAACAAGGAAATGAGACTCAAGTCCCTATCATATTCCTTCTTCGACTCACAATATGAAGATAGTTGGAGATGTATGCAAACTCTAGAGATATCCTAAAGAGAAAATAGAATTAGGACTAGTACGAACTTTTTGCAGTCCAAGTCCCTCCCATATATACATATATATTTACCCTCTTAGAATAATGCAAGATTATTTGGGGAATGACTGAATATAGCTCAATTGGTTAGGTTTCTTGTGGTCGAATACACACCAGAGTTTATGTTCTCGACTTAACGTGGGTACTCCTATTTTCCCTCGTAGCAGTATGGTGACTGCTGTGTGAACACCGACTCTTGCTTGTGGTGCAATGGGGTCAACTGCTGTAGCGGCACGGACGGCGGGTCCTACTTGGAGGAGCGAACCGGGTCGGTGTTGAGCGCCTCGACGAACCACTGATGCTCCTCCGCCTCGGACTCGAGGAGTACGGGTGGAGGAAGCACCGCAACGTGGAAAGGCTCGTCGATGGTGGAAGGTGTGGGCGCGACCGATGCGGTGGCGGGAGGCGCGGGCGTGAGTGAGGCGATGACTGAGGCCACGGTGGTGGAAGACGCCGGCGCGATGACGATGGAAGCGGCGATGGAAGGTGCAGGCGCGGGTGCGGCCGAGGCGGTGGCGGAAGGTGGAGGCGCTGGTGTGGCCCTGGCGATGGTGGAAGGTGTGACATGCTTGTCGAATAACCGATCCAACTACGCGGTCTGCTCGGCGAAGAGCCTGCGCATCTCGACGAGGAAGAGCTCGGTGGAAGGATTCATGGTGAAGGCAGGGAGGTCGATCCAGATCGCGTGGATTCCCCACAAATCGACTCACGGTCCCGGGGATTTATGGAGAGATCGCTGGCAACAGTGGCTCACTATCGATCAATGATCTCTATCCAACCCAGGGACAGTGGCGAAGCCCAGGCATACCCTGCGTAAGTAGCGAGTATAGTATGTATATATGTTTCTTATTTGTAATAAAAAAACCAAAAAAAAGTACATGAGAACGGACGCTCTGCGACTCATTAGCACTAGCAAAGACTTCCAGGCTTGTTCCAGCCCACGCGGTCCACGAGGCCTGTGGGCACATGACATGTCTGGCCCTCAGCAACCGAGAGGCCTCACGCACGCATCGATTCATCAGATGGAGATTTGGAGCAATGCTGCCATGGAGTCTCGCCGCCGCCGTGTGCTATATCGAGAGTTCGAGACTCTCAGATTGACTAATCTGCACAGGCATCCAGCTGCAAGTACAAGACGTCATGACTAACTGTGATGGAGATCGTCAGGTCGAGATTCGCCTAAGCAGGTCTGCTGCGACATGCTGGCTGCGCCTCCACGACTAAAGTGTAGAGCTCGACTGCTGGCCATCTTTGCTTTTTCATTTTCTTCTTATTTAGAAAAATCATGTATATTTTGATTGCTAACATCACCAAGTCATTCCTCACAGCGAGATCGGGGTCAAAGAAGTGTCAGCGGCTGTCATTCCTCACAGCGAAATCGGGTCAAAGAAGTGTCAACGGCCGTTGCCACTACTATAATCCTTAAAATGTGTCAGCCAAAAAAGTTAAATGCGTAGTATTGTAAGTCTTTTACTCTCTTTTATGCCTATATTCTAAACTGTCAGTCTGCTTTGAACTATTTATATTGTAATTTATGAATTTTTTCAAGTCATTAATCTTTGAATTTAAGATTTATCGTGTTATTTAGTGCACGCATATGAAATTACGTTGCAAATTCAAAGATCGTTACCGAATTACCGAATCATTTTACCGAATTGTATGTGAAACAATTTGGATGGCATACCCTATGATAAAATCCTAGATCCGCCACTGCCCAGGGAAGGTGCGAGTCAATCGATGGAATACGGAATCGAACGCGAACAAGGTCACTGTCTCTGATACCAACTGTTAACAAAAGTAGGGTAGCAGGGATCGAAGAGAAGAACTAGAGCAAGGATCAGTAAAGTAGAGCACGAAACTTAGGGATAGTTTAGAGTTTCTATTAGAACGGATGAAAGTTCCCTTACAAGATTGGAAAAAGTTTAGGACAGGAGTTTGATTATAATATTCATAATTGATTCCTTCCCCTCCCCCCCTACCCCTAGATACTTATAAGCTAGTAAACGCTCGAGCTGGTGAACGTTCACTCCATACATGGACCAAGCCCAACCAATAAAGGCACGCAACCCAAGTCCCAATTACTATTAGTAGCCCAAATACCTGACATCACCGTATCTAGGTTTTTCCATGTGCTCTTTTATACTTGTCTAAAATAAAAGCATGAAAAGGTACAAAACACGTCTCACTTTTGTATAAGTACAAAAAAAAAAGAAATATGCATGCTTATCAACACGAACACAAATTATACTGTGATATATGAGTACTTTCATGCATGCTGTATACATGTCTTTCCGCCTTCCGGGTAGCAATACATGGATATACATTTCATAGTATCCTTATAAAAAATTCTAAAACCTAAAGTATAACTTAATGAGTACGTAGCACTCGCAAGGACGTACAAAAAGAAATCGTGAAATACACATCGTGAAGGCGACAAGTTAGTTGATTTTCTGTTTCGCAGCAAATCTCGTGGGGAAGAAAGACCTTGTAACGTAATCACACGACCTGGACCATAGCGACGGAGACCAGCATCAGTAATAGCAGCTGCAGAAGACTTGGGGACGAAACGGAGCCTGCGATGCAAATGCGCAGCAATGGAAGCAAAGAATCAGATACTCGCGTCATCAACAATGCACAAGTACGTACGTCTGTAGTTTGAGTGTACGACTCGGTGCTGTGCACGCCATCGCGCGCCAAGAAGGTCCGAATAATTAATTAAAAAAAAACAAAGAAGCTGAACCTAGTGAATCGTCAGTTGCATTGGCTTTTGTGCCGGAGGGAGGAGCAGATGGCCCCGGTGGCGACGGGCCGTGATCTCCGGATGGAGCTGGAGCCGGCGCCGGGGGGCCGAGTCCCAGGGCGTAGCACTCGTCGCCTGAGTTAACCTGCGCGGGAGAAGCACCGGCAGGCAAAGCAAAACATATATAAGTTGAAGAGAATAAGCTAATACTACTAGTAACTCAGGCTACTCGGGTCATCATACAGTTGACGCAAGGGAGCGTGGTGAGGTTGAGCAGGTTGGCGTAGCCCGGCCGGCACTCGCAGCTGTAGCTGAAGCTGAACGGGGCGCCGCCTGCCTTGCACGCGCCGCCGGCTCCGCAGCTCACGACGGATCAGACTGCACGCGCCCGCGCACCCAACACGATAGAGAGCAGCGCAATGTAAGATGATGATAGCTCATGCTCGATCCTGGGGCACGGGAACAGGAGACGACGGAATGAGAGGGGCGGCTACATAGCTTACCGTCCGGTATGCCCTTGGGTGGCACTGGCGGCTGGCTGAGGTTGAGGTTTAAGCAGGCGCTGTTGAAGGAACCTGCATATATCACACACAGAAACTAGCTACGTAGTACAGACACTATGTATATGCTACAGATCGAAAAGAGAGGACAGGATCAATAGTTACAGTTAGGGACGATGCAGGGTGAGAAGGGGATGAGCTTCAAAGCATGGGACCAGCCAGGGTCGCAGTGGCACTCGTAGTTGGGAGGCAAGGGCCCCGGCGTCTCGCTGCAGTTTCCCTTGCCGCAGTTGGCCGTGTCGCAGACCGAGGCGCACCCTGCGTGGCGGCCGCCGCCGAGCAGCGCCAGGACCAGGGGCAGCAGCAGGAGCCGCGCGGCCTCTGACGCCGTCGCCGCCGCAGAACCTATCGCTGGCTCACGCATCTTCTACGTTCGCTGCGCTGTGGACTCGTCCCAAGGAGGCGGCGGCCGGCTGGGACAAGTTAAATGTTCGCCATCCATCGCTAGCCTCGGTCCTCGGACAAGTTAAATGTTCGCCATCATCGCTAGCCTCGGCCGGCTGTGGACTCGTCCCAAGGAGGAGCTTCAAAGCAGGGGTCAAGCGGCCGGACCATTGCTAGGTGAGGTCGGAGCTCGCAAGGCAGCGCCACGGCCACGCGGGTTTGCCTTTGTTTCCTCTTCTCCATACACCGGCCGGCGCCGTCCTAAGTTTTATCACCCTGACCTCGACTGTACTTTGTTTCTTCGCAAGAAACCAAACCAATCGTAATACGCGGGTGTTTGAGCCTTCTGTTTTGTACCCACGCCCGAGGGAAATGGTCCACTGATCGATAGCCAGGTGCCACCGAGTTCGAGCGTGCTTCTCGATTTGTTGCTTGCCTAGCTTGCGCAGAACAGACAAGAAAGCGTGATGTTTTTTCCCCTGAACAGAACTAGCATTTTGTTACCAAGAAAGCTTGACGATGTTTTTTTTAAAGAACTCGCACTTTATTACCTCAATCAATTGTGAAGGGATCAAGATTTATAGTGGGTGAATTGGACTAATTCTAAATTTCTTTCAATAATTAAACTCTACGATTAACCCAATTAACCCCTTGTGCCTAGAAAGTATTTCTAATGTTCTACCACACAAAAAGTCTTGCAACCTAAGTTCCAATCCTACTCTAGCATGGTAATTTTATGAACGTAAAGACAAGAATTGAATTGCTCAAAGTAAAGAGAGAAGGAGGAACGCGGCGATGTTTTGTCGAGGTATCGGAGAGTCGGTCACTTCCCACT